ATTAGAGAAAATGTGAATTAAAAACAATCCCACTTAGTGTGTTGTTAGTTTATTTTGATTGGACAATTTGCCATTCAATACAATATGTTGCACTGTATTTCAGCAGAATACATAGCTGCCGAACTGTAGCTCTCTACCTGAGAAAATCCAGACAGATAAAGCAGAGAGCTACAGATCCATGCGCTTAAAAAACATTCAATTTACGCCACCGATATTTTGTCGCTCACTTCAGGTATCATTTCTTATATTTTATGTTTCCCCAAGCTTTATAAATGATATCTGATAATTAACTGTACATTTAACGCCTATCCCTAAATGCTTATTTACCTTTCAACGGTTCAAGAAAAACGTTTGTGGAAATGGACGTAAAATGGGAATCTTTTAAACAGTGTTAAACCGACAATCCCAATCCAAAGAGGGGACTGTTTCGGTCCGTCGAGAGATCAAAAGTCTCAATAGTTTGAGTAAAATGTATAATTAATTATCGTATACCATTTTAAATGCATAAACCGGAAGTAATCAACAAAAGATGAGCGGCGTAAATCGTCGGTTTTTACAATGCATGGATCTGTAGCTCTCTGCTTTACTTCAACATGAACAAGTACACTCATCAGTGTATATACTCATCAGTGTATATCAAACATTCCCCACCATCCACCCTTCCAAAGACAGCCTTTTTATACAATTTTCCTTTAGGATTGGTTGTATGTTGTAAAATTTGCATAATGTAAGTTTGTTACCAAGTTCGATAATTGAATTATGGCCCTTTGAAGAACGTAGACAAAACGATCTTTGATCTCTGCTTTATATTATGCAAATGTTTAAACAATGTTAATGAGGAACAAGCTTATAGACTATATAAGACTTTTCGATATAAAATCTGAGTAAAGAACCCTTATGTTGGGTTCAAAGTCTGAAATTGTTGGGAGTTACACTCACTAAACAGTTACTGCTATGCAGGACTGATGGAAAGCGCGTTTGATAGTCCTACAAAGGAAACCGGCGCTTTGTTTGATTGAATCTCAAAATGATTACTATAAATCAGTCAAACACAAAATTAAAGTTTAGCCGCTTTGCAATGTTTTGGCCTTCCCAAACAAGTGCTAGAAAGCAGCAAAATGCAACTTTATTCTAAAGTATATTGTCGTTATTATCGGTTGCAAACTCAGATGCATAGGAAGAAAACAAATCATATTAAAATTTATCTGGTAATTAAAAATAAACTTATTCCATAAGGTTTGTTTTAAAATAAGAACACCACGTTTGAAAACGTGGACATGTTCATTTTCAACATATGTCTCATAAAAATTTTCGTAGTTGAATAAATATTGACCATGTAGGTATTTCTTAAATAAACAGTACATTAAGCATATTAAACTGCAATATAATGCAGTGCAATATATCTTTATTTAAAAGCAGAATTATTAGCATAAAATTAAAAAATAAACTTCACACAGCACAGTTTCTTCTGCATGTTTCGTATACGTGCCCAAATCAGTCTTTTGATATACATATAAAAATCAGTGAAAATAACTGTTGTTTGATGACAAATCAACTCTAAGCAGGTGAGTACTGTTATCATAGTAGTAAAATCTCTTTTCTTGTATAGTGCACCTCTGCACCACTCTTTATTCTTTGAATTTCAAACACGAGAATTTTATTCTTATACCCAAACTTGTCCTCGGTAAAAAAAAAAATCAATTTGGTACCTCATCGCAATTTTTCGACATAATTACTGAATTCTTAATCTAGATTCATATTAAACTGTTAAACTGTACACTCCAGCACTATGTGAATAGGTGGATATAAAAAAACCCATTCAGATTCTTCAATTTAAAAATAATGAACTGATGAAGAGCAAAGAAAACTATACCAGTTTCTGCGTGATTGAGATGCCATAGCTAAAAGTGATTTTCAGATTAAACATATATAGTTAAAACATGGATTCTTATGTAGCATTTTTATTTTAATTGTATGCTGACCTTTGCAGCTTTGAACATCGAATTTACACGAATAGAAATTAGTGATCTTACTTGTAATATTTCCCTTTGCTGTCGGCATCGGCCTCCAATTTCTAAGAAATCCTTTTGGAAAAACCACATAACATAATTGTGGTCTATGGAAAAAGTCCGATATATCCAATAAAAAAGTAATCCTAGATGACTTAAGGCCGGTATACACGGTAAGATTTGTATTATAAGATTTGTATCATAATACAAAATCTTATTGTGTATACACTCCTAATACAGTGTATCATAAGATTTTTCGAATCTTATAAAACTGTATTAAGAATAGAGCAATGCTCTATTTCCTAATACAAGTCTTAACTCACCTTTCACTTTCAACCAATCAAATGTACTCACATTGGCGGTCTTCCTATTTATATCATTACTAAATAAAGCACATGGTAAATAATAATGGCCGACTTTTCGAGTAAAGATATCGAAAAACTCGTGGTTTTATGGGAAGGAGTAGAGGACTTGTGGAAGAAGTCAAGCTGTACCTACCACAAAAAAAGATGCTAGAAGCAGAGCTAATTATTATAGTTTTTATTATTTTGACAGAGAGAGAAATATGGCAGGAGAAAACACGTGGGAATAATAGTTTATTTACAATCTTATAAGATATGTATTAGCGTGTGTACAAGAAAGTATTATAATACAAAAGTATTATAATACTTGTATTATACTACAAATCTCATCGTGTATACCGGCTTTTAGACATCTCACGCACTCGCGTTGTAAACGAAATTCTTTCTGTATGTAGCCTTAGTTAAACTATCAAAGAAGCATCGAGAGTCACGTGTTAATTGTTCGAGCACGCTTATTAACCCAATTCTTGCGAGTTCAGCCCAAAGAGTGTTTTATTCCGGATCAGTCCAGTTGGTAATTTAATAAGTGGCCATTAAGAAACATACACTTATTTTAAATTCGTATGTTATTCAAAACCAATCATTTCATTTTTGAATATTGCTATTTTTGTATTTCTTTTAAAAATTAGGTTGTAACTTGGAAAATACTAGGTTTGATTCGGCTCAGCCTAGAACACCCCCTACAATATATTTAAACAAATTAACGGTGAGATATCCAAAAATTGCTTTTCTAGGTGTCTATGGGTTTTTGCGTTACTAAGGTAACAGAATGGTCTCTCTCTGATCCATTAATTAATTGAGCCCCCCCCCCCTCCCCCAACATTTTCCACATTTTGAACATTGAATTATTTTGTAGTTTTATTGATATCTTTTAACGGTGGGATTAACAAATATTATACAATTATGGACTATTTTGGTGTTGAATATGGTTTGTTATTCACCAGAAAAATATTCATATTGACCGAGGCGAAGCCGAGGTCAATATGGATATTTTTCTGGTGAATAACAAACCATATTCAACACCAAAAGAGTCCATAATTGTTTTATTATATAGTCGGGATTTGTATAGATAAGACATTGAAGGCTGTATGACGACACCATTTTCATTTGCGATCTTCCATTGTTGAAAATAAAAAAAATCTCCAGATTACTGTGTGTAATCTCCGTGTTTTCCTTTCCGAGTTTGGCTATGTGTAAGACGTCCAGATGTTAAAAAATAATCCTGAAAAAGGTTTGAATAATCGTTTTCCTGCTCAGATACGTAGCTCGCTGCGGCCGTTGCAACCATTGTTTACAACGTTGTTTGATATTTTGATTGTGACGTCACAATGCCGTTGCACGCGAATTGACCCTCCGGTGAATACGGCCTAAAATCCGGTGAATATGTAGTGTTATGAACTGTTTGCGTTTGTATAGATTATATAGGGACTATATAAATAGACTATATAATAATAAATATTAAATAAGAGGCCCATGAGCCACATCGCTCACCTGAGCACTAAGGGTAGGAAAAAGTAGAAAATGTTTTTTTATTGTAAAGTTTAAATCCAAAAGTAGTCCCATGACCAATCATGGATTTGCTATTTTTTAGAAAATGATTTTTAAAGAATTTTCCTATATATATCTTTGAAAACTTTGGTCGGCCATTTTCGCCCCGCCTTACCCCCGGGGGTCATGATTTGAACAAATTTGAATCCACACTACCTGAGCATGCTTCCATATAAATATGATGAATTATGGCTTTGTCATTCTTGAGAAGAAGATTTTTAAAGAATTTTCCTCTATATTTCTATGTAAAACTTTGGTCGGCCATTTTGGCCCCGCCCTACCCCCGGGGGTCATGATTTGAACAAATTTGAATCTACACTACCTGAGCATGCTTCCATATATATATATGATGAATTATGGCTCTGTCATTCTTGAGAAGAAGATTTTTAAAGAATTTTCCTATATATTTCTATGTAAAACTTTCGTCGGCCATTTTGGCCCCTTCCTACCCCCGGGGGTCATGATTTGAACAAACTTGAATCTACACTACCTGAGCATGCTTCCATATAAATATGATGAATTATGGCTTTCTCTTTCCTGTTAATAAGAATTTTAAAGAATTTTCCTCTATATTTCTATGTAAAACTTTGGTCGGCCATTTTGGCCCCGCCCTACCCCCGGGGGTCATGATTTGAACAAACTTGAATCTACACTACCTGAGGATGTTTCTCCATAAGTTTCATCTTTCCTGGCACAGTGGTTCTTGAGAAGAAGATTTTTAAAATATGCCACCAAATTTTCATTTATTCCCAATTATCTCCCCTTGAATGAGGGCGTGGCCCTTCATTTGAACAAACTTGAATCCCCTTCACCCAAGGATACGTAGTGGCAAGTTTGGTTGAAATTGGCCCAGCGGTTCTTGAGAAGAAGTCGAAAATGTGAAAAGTTTACAGACAGACGGACAGACGGACAGCCAGACAGACAGACGGACGCCGAACAAAATGTGATCAGAAAAGCTCACTTGAGCCTTCGGCTCAGGTGAGCTAAAAATGGTAAAGAAAAGATTGGCATTATATAAGCAAGGGCTATGAATTTTACTTTCCAAAAACTTTTAAAGAAATATTTCTTGAATGAATGCTGCAAAGATATGTACATGTACTCATGTAGCTTACCGGTTTTTAAAAATTAGAATGGACAATATGTTGATCTGCATCTTTTGCACAGCAAAATTTAGGGTGCAAAATCTCTAAAGTACTTTATAAAGTCATAAGTAAAATACAAAACATAGCAAAACATAATGATAAAAATCAATTTCCAACTTAATAAGGAAAATATAGGGGCATAAACGTATAGGGCCAACCACCACATCCAAAGAGAGTAAAAGATCACATAAATGAAGCTGCCTAGTTTGTCTGTGTCCACAGTTTCCTTTCCATCTTTAGCAAAAACTCCCGTGTTATAGAAATGGTCCAACATGGCTTCTTTTTCGACGTATCTGTCGTACATCCATTTTGTGAGTCCATTTTCGTCTCTAGGGACGTTTTGAATATTGAAGACACGATAGTGTATGTGTATGGGCGGGAATTTTCCCATGGAGAACATCAGAATCAGGGCGTTCGGTGCTTCTCCTTTTGGATAAGCAATGGTCATATCGATGATCCAGTTTAACCTTTCAGAATTATCTTTGAAATTGCAGGGGTCTGAAAGATGTATTTATAAAATATATGCACGGACCAAAACATAAGAGAAAATAAAATATATTTTTGGTAAAACTAATTGTTTAGTTGGATACACAAAAATATAGACCTTTAAGATTAGGAATATACAGAAGTATTTGAGAAAGATATTTAATAATTATTAATAATTAACTAAAATGAAACATATGGAGATAACGGACATTATTCAAGATCAAAAATCCATAAAACAATACAAAGAGTAAAGCAAACACGGACCTCCAAAACTTCAGAGGTGGGGCCAGGTGCCATGGAGGAGTGAGCAACCCCTGCCGACCGACCACACCCGCCGTGTAAAATCAAAAGTTCTAAAGTGGAATTTCCATACCTTCCTTTGGTGCTAATTCGTCTAGTATGGTTTTTGTTACCCCCAGTCGAGGCAGACAAACGTTTTCAAGCATAGGCAAGCCATGTTTCTTTGCATACCTTTAAACAAAAAATTCTACTTAGAAATATTTGTAAATTATCGATCAATGCTAATACATACATATATATAAAATATAATGTACAATGTAAAATTTGAGTATACCTTTGGTTCCCTGATTTTCTAGTGGAGAGGAACCCTCCCTCAGGAAACAACACTATCCATTTCTTCAGAGTTGTTAAGTAAATAGTTTTCAAATGTGATTTGAGTTTGTTCATTTGTTTGGTTCTTTCAGATACAGTCTGAAATAAGATACATTTATTGCATGATCGAGAGGGAAATATAAAGATTTGTTCAGCCAAGAAATATCATACTACTCTCGGGCCATATATTTCTTGGCTGAATAAATCTTCATATTTCCCTCAAGAGCATGCAATAAATTGTTTGTTATACCGAAACAAGCAAAAACTTCAAAAATAAATATGAACTTTCAAAATTTGGCACCCCTCTCAAAATCATTTTCAATTTAATCGTAAAGTTTCTCATTACACTTTAATAAAACAACCAACAATTTTGTGACGTTACATTGTTGGTTATTGTGACTCCTACTACTCTCGGGAGTTTTGAGATCGATAATTATGGAGGGAAAATGCACCAGGTTTCCGAAGAGGTTGAATATGATGAAAAGCATGAAGACGACAAGGAAATATGAAATTTTATGGCCCTGTCACGTGATAATCTAGAACCAACCAGATAACGCGTTTTATAGAATAATTATATATGAAGTATAAAAATATAATATATAACACATATCAAAATTGAGCTACAATTTCAGTCTGATTTTAGCCTTTATCTGATGATTGATAGTGTGAATACACACGTACATAAATCTTTATCTTGCTACATGGTTTGAACAAATTTTAATTTTATCGGTCTTACGGTGACCTTAACTTTCCGCTTAATTCGCCCCGTTTCTATAGGTCGTGTCTCATATTTTAAGTTACAAGAATGGCTTTAGCTTACAAAAATGTGCTCTCATAATTAGATTTTTTAAAAAAAAGCTTCCATTGTTTTGTTCTTCATTTATATTTCTTTAGTTTATTTTTTTTTCAGATACCTGTGCTTAAGGTATATGCCTCGAAAATTAATTTTAAAAATCCATACATCTAAAACTTTTGTATACCCTGCAAGGTTGCTTGAGAAAGAAATCTCCATGTAAACGACTGACCCATCCAAAGTGAGTTAGCCGAAACACGTGATCCATGACCCAGGTCATGTGACCCGTTACCATGCCTTTTGGGTGCAGTGACTGCATGATGACTCCAATATCAGCAGTAGATTGGTGATTACAAAGCAATAGAGCCCTGTCATCTAATATGTCTTTCAAAGAATCACCAGATTCTTTCACTGAAAAATTAATTATCCTATTCATATACAATTGACAGAGACACGATTAAGAAGACTTAAATTTGGAAAGTGGTAAATTAAATGTTAAAGAACATACAGACAATTCCATCGGTGTAAAACCATGACGTCACACCGCCAAGAACTGCCTTAAATAAGTGAGCATCTATGTTCCAGAAGAGGCGAGGATGCAGAAATCTTAATGGCAACAACAGGATGTGGAAAGTCACATAAATTGGAACTCCAACACACTGTGTGTAGAGGAAGTAGACGCCCTTGACGATATAATAAATGGCTGCAATCAGCCATTGATCATCCATTCTAGACTAGAATATGAAAAGATGTTTATTAATTATGATTAACACTGGTAATTTTAATTGAATTAATTTCTCATGAGAAATATTATCTAAAAATAACAAGCAAATTAAAAGAATTTTGGTTCCCCGCTTTCGATACATCTGTTTGGATGAGATGTCACTATTTATGGAATATTGTGTCAAATATGAACCCCCTATCATATGTCATTCGGAAGATATCACCAAAGTTGATTTTTTTGAAATTAGGTCAATCGTGAAGGTCAAGGTCTAGGGGTCAGAAATCATAGCATGCTCGGAAATATCTTGTCACAGGTAATGCACATGTCAAACAAATATGAAAGCCCTATCTCTTCTCATTCAAAAGTTATAAGGTAAAATTAACCTAGGTAGATCAAACTTCAAGTTAACGAGAAAAAAAACATGGTGTATTTAGAAAGGTAACAATGATTTTTGACCTTGTTACCTTGACCTTGAATTATGACCTATTCTTCAAAAACTTTAACCTTGGTCATGACTTTTGAATGAGAAGACCTTTCTAAATACACAATGATACACAATGGATTTTTGACCCCGCGACCTTGAAGTTTGACCTACTTTTAAAAAAAATCTAAACGACCATAAATTTTGAATGAAGACGTATGGAGCTTTCATACTAAACATGTATATTACCTGTGACAAGATCTTTCGAAATACACTATGATTTTTGACCTCGTGACCTTGAAGTTTGAACTACTTTTCAAAAACTTTAATTTTCGCCATGACTTGTGAATTAGAAGAGATGGGGCTTTCATATTAAACCTATGTATTGCCTATGACAAGACCTTTCTAAATACACTATGTTTTTATATCTCGTGAACTTGAAGTTTGACCTACTTTTTTAAAAAATTTAATTTTTACGTATAACTTTTGATTGAGAAGAGATAGTGCTTTCATATTTGACATGGGCTTGATTGTGACAAGATATTTCCGAGCATGCTATGATTTCTGACCCTTTGGCCTTCACGATAGACCTAAAAAAATGAACTTAAGTGATCTGAACTTCTGATAAATGTGATAGGGCTTTCATATTTGACACAATATGCCATAAATAATGACTTCTCACCCACAAAGACACCGAAAGCAAGGGACCCTAAATACATGTCAAAAATCGTTATCAAAACAGAACTTGACCTAGATATTCTTATGAAAAATCTATTTACCAAATTTAATTTCAGTAGGTGTAACCTCTACGAAGAAAGAGATCATCCGAAGCTGCAAATAATTGGAAATTGGAATTTTTCTATGTCCAAGGGACATAACTCTGTCAAAAATGGCTCGATCGTTGCCAAAACAGAACTTGATATTCTTATGAAAAATCTGCATACCATATTTTATTTTAATAGGAGTAACCTCTGCGAAGAAAATGAACGGAAACTGCAAATAATTGGAAATTTTAACCTATGTATTTTTGATGATAAATTTAAATAACAATTTCATTTCTGTATGTAAAGAAAATGAAAGGAAATTTCAAATAATTGGAATTTTTCTATGTCCAAGGGGCACAACTCTGTCAAAAATGGCTAGATTGCACACAAAACAGTACTTGACCTAGATTTTCTTATAAAATTCTATATACCTAACTTCATTTCAGTATAATTGTGCAACCACTGCGAAGAAAATGAACGGAAACTGATGGTGGATGGTGGACCGACCGACCGACAGACAGCAGCTAAGTAATATGCCCTACCTTCTTTGAAGGGGGGGGGGCAGAAAAAATAAACATTAAATCACACGTAAAAAAAAAACTAAAGGATGCTGGTACTCACAATTATTTGGGTTATATACGATTATCCAGTTCTTTTTAATCAAGAGATTGGAATAAACATTTTATAACTACACTACTGTACAAACGAATAAATACACACGTACATTGACCTCATTAATGTTTACACAATATAATGTATTGCATAGAGATGGCGATAAATCCCGTATCTACATATATATAGAATCTTAAAGACTGAAGCAAGCATATTGTCATAAAAGGAAAAAAGTACTATTACTGCAGTCACTTTTAATTCCCACAATATTATTTCTGCCTTTATGCCCCTGTTTACATTGCGATAGATTTAGCGCGGAATATAAACCAAATATTCTACTCTCTTTAAGTTTTTGTGATTTTTCCGTCATATTCTTTATATTCATAACATTAATATTTATGCGGGGGGGGGGGGGGGGGTCGGAGGCATTCCTTGGTAAAACTATAGACATATACATGTAATGACATAGTGATATTGTTTTTATATTTCTTTGGTAAAATGGATTTATGATTTTATCTGTATCAGAGAGTCAGACGTCTCTGTTTGGATGAAATACCTGTATACATCTTGACGGTATATGATGTGTCACGGTCCCGTCATTAGGTGGATCCTCCTTCACAATCCACAAGGCCCTCCACATAGACTGCCCTACAAATCCATGGAATCCTACTTCCACTGGAAGACTCCATACTTTCCAGTCCCGTTGCTGACAGTCTGCATCCAGATCCTTGTACTTCTTCATTTTCAGCTCCTGGGCTTCGTCAATACTGTCCTCCCAAGTCACTGTAAGTTCCTGTAAAAGAACAAGCCGAGCTGCCAGAGACCAAGTAACAATAACTGGTCTCTGATTGGTAAATGGTATTTCCTGTGAAAACTGCATACAGCCGTTGAGATCTCCTTGCATTTCCCAATCACAGGTGATCTCCTATTGTCCGCCTCCTCCCCCTCCCTAAGCCTGACTCTGTTCACCAGTCTTACAAAATTTACAAACTTCAAGCCTTCTTTAGTTTTCTGAGGTTTCTTCCTTGCTTTTCCTAGCACGTCTGCAATAACAGATAGAATTTTGTCGTGTCTCCGTGTAGAACTTTTATCTGTTAAGGCTACTGAACCTTAAGACAGAATACTAGTATGTTCCAGGTTGGGTGGTCTACAACAAAGACCGCAATTTAGGTCGTCCTTCATGCCCCATGTTGTCAGATTGGTTGGGTTAGCAACACGTCATGAACAGACTTTATAGCTGAAACTGCAGTCTCTGGGGCTCTTTTATCCAGATTTCATTCCAAGATAACTTCTTCTGTCTGGCCTCAAGTTTTAATAGCTGGCTTCTCTGCCTATTCATACCAACTGTCTTTCCCATTCTTATGTGCTCTTCCATTTCGTGCACTTCTTTCGCACAAGTTGCCTCTTCTCCACTTCTGACGATATACCCCTTACTGTCGATTGTATTATTGCTATACCCTGCCTGCATATTTTCACACATCTCACAATGTCAAGTTGCCTCAGCCGAGACTCTGTCCTCTGTCGCTTGCACTGTCTTCGTTCTG